TATGTTGGCCATAATCAACATTCATATAGCTAATTGGCCTAAAGATTTTAAAATCTGACTGATCACCTGTGTTTTAAAAAAATATATTAATCATCCCATGTCTCAGATCTAGATAATTCTTCTTTTCCACAAAAAAAAAATGAAAAAATATACTGCAATACATGTTTTAATTCATTAAAAACGTACATGTAAAATTCTGCAGTTATACCATCTGGTCTCTGTGTTTTACCTTTTCATTACCTTTTAAAGGATTTTTCGATTTCCTCAAAATTAATAACATCATCACACATTCTATATCTTCGTCGTCTATTTTTAGATTAACATTTATTAATATTTCATCAACTGAATGCATGTCAATAATAACACTAGAAAACAAATGTTATAAACAAAAACATAATAATCAGGTATAACATCAAGTAATTCATTTGTTTCTGTAAGAATTTTTCCATCACAATTTTTTATTTCACTTATAACATTCTTATTCTGTCTATACGTTTCTTAATTAAAAAAATATGCAGTATTTCTATCACTTTCTAGCGCCCACTGTGACTTTGATCTCAAAATTGCACCTTCACATTTGTATTTTTCAATATTTTCTAATTGTGTTTTTAATTCTAAAAAATGTTCACCATTTATCTGAAAACCATTTGCAGATTTTACTGATAATTCTTGAATTTTGTTCTGCAAATTATAATATTCCCTGTTTAAATCTTTTTTGCTTTTCTTTGCCATAAATTTGGCTTAATCTTTTAATCGTAAATTTTAAATTATCCCACCAAAATAAAGAATTTGACATATAAAAATCTGACCAAATTTTCTCTGCAAATAATTTCCTTATTTTATCAGTAAATAATTCATCTTGTAAAAATGAATTATTAAACATCCACACACCTGGACCTCTTTCTACATTGCAAAAATCTATTTTTATGCTGAAAATACTATGATCACTAAGCAAGTATCTTTATAATGAATATTCTTAATACATAGTTTTAGATCTATGGAAACAAAAAAATAATCTATTCTGCTTTGGGTTAAAAACCATTCTATAGCTTGTTTTCTAGAAATATTTTGTATCAATATTTCTATTTCTCCATATATCATATAAACCTTTTTCTTGCATAAAATCACATAAGGATTTTACAGCCTTATCATTACAATGCGTGGTTTTCCCACTTTTTTCTAAACTGGATAGAGTTGTATGAAAATCTCCAGCAACTAACACATATTTTCCATTACTAATCTTATTCTTTAACTTTTAAGAAAAAATAACATCTTTCATTTACATTATTTGGCGCATACATATTATAAATATCAATTATTTTATCATTAATTTTCCCTTTTATATGAATAAATCTTTCACTATTATTTTCAACTTCAGAAAAAAATATTTGTCAATTTCTTACTAACAAGAAAAGCAACTCCTTGTCTGTTATTACCACTATTACTATGAAAAATATCCCCATTCCAAATAGTTTTATCTCTTTTGATTCTTTCTACTAAAAATCATTCCAAAATGTTTCTTGTAAACAAATAATATCATACTATTTATCATTACACAATGAAAAATACTATTCCTTTTATTAGTATCACAAAGTCCATTACAATTAAGACTTATTACATTAAAAATAGCCATGCTACAAAACAAATTTTGAGTATTATATGATACTTACAGTCCATTATTATTAGTTTCTATTTTTTTTCTGATGTGTTAACATAGCTGCCTTTACATTTGGCTTAATTTTCAACGTGTTTCGCCTTCTTTCGTTTTCTTTCTTAACTTTAAACAACTTTTCTTTCTTGCTTTTTTCATCTTCACCAGCCCCCTGACTTTTATCAGTCAATGGGCCGGTGTCCATAGTAATTTCATCTAATTCACCACAAGCACCATCATCTTCTCCCTGGCTGGATGTTTTTTCTAGAGAGGAGATGATACTTATTTTTTCATCGTTAGCAGTAGTTTCGCATGAAAGATTTTCATTTGTTAATACATTTTTACTTGACGATAAATTACATTTACTAATATTGCTAAAAGTTAAGACATGTCCATCTGAAATCTGTTCACTGTCTTAATCTGTAATCTCGGTCGCGCTCTGTGTCTTTTAACCATTGTCGGACGCGTTTTCAACTGTTTCTGTAACGTAATACTCAATTGAATCATCGTCGTCTCCATTACAATCACCTTCTACTCCATTATCATCACTATCATCTTCATAACCATCATCGTCGTCTCCATTACCACCATTTCCATCCTCAGCATCAAATTTCTCATCATCATACATCTTACTACTCGTATGTATATCTGGAACATTTAAGTCAGGTGGCGGATTATATTGTCAATCAAAGTGTGTCCAAAAATACACAAAAATCATACAGAGGAGGTAATTATGAAATTAGGCAGATGGAAATCGCATGCTTATTCTCGTTATATTAGGTTGCAATTTTTCTAGTTACAAAAAGGCTAACAAGCTACAAGTTTTCACAGGTCCCAAGATTTTATGAATTGTTGGAAGTTCCCTTGTTCATTGGGCCAATGTAGAGGTAAAAAAATATGGTAGGACCAACCTTGGACTGGAGTCCAAAGGAGTCACAGCATACTGGATTGGTCAACCTGGTTTACAGTTAAAAGATTTGGACGCCCTACTGGATGCGAAACGGAAATTTTTACCTTCTAATTTCATTATTATTCACTGTGGAAATTTAATAACATCACCACTGGTACATTGTTCCGGACTATTATCTGAGGGACCAATATGTGACGTATTTACACTTTCGTCGACTTTCTGGTCATTTCCATTATTTTCTTTAAAACTAGTATTTATTTATTGATATTTTCGTTTAATATCAAAATGACTATGTCAGTGTGTTTTTCTTCTTCCTAGGTTTTCACCGAAACCTTCTCCAAAATAACGCTTTCGTGTGGTACGATCACAATCAGCTAGTACACGTTGACAACTTTTACATTTAAACTCTGCACAGTGTTTACTAAAAACTAAATAACAAAAATACCAAACTCCAAGGAAAGTTCAACTCGGAAAGTCCCTTATCAAATGGCAAAATCATAAGCTCAGACACATCAAACGAATGGGAAACAACTGTCATATTCCTGACTTGGTATAGGCATTTCCTTATGTAGAAAATGGTCGATTAAATTAATGTGTCCCTGTTGACCGCACTAAAAATATTTAAATTCTGGGCAATCTCTATACAATGGTCAGGACTATAACAACCAGATCATACTTTGACCTGGTCGTTATGAATTACTCTATAAAATTCTGTCTCTTTTCCACTCACTGTAAACTTTATGGAGTACGATATTGAGACAAGTGTGGGTAGTAATTTTAACTTAAAAACTCTATTATCATCATATACCTTCAATCTGCTGTTCAGTTTTGTCAAATCTATCAATAATTCTTCGTCTGTAACATACACATTCATATTAAAAATTGACGCAATTCTAAATACGGAAATCAGTACATTTACAATAATGTTGTACCTTTTATTGACATATTATATCCCGAAATCTTCCAACATTTCTCAGTTCTCGCAATACCACTTCATAGACGATACCACACTTTGGCACACACGCCAAAACAGATCCTGTTCCACATTTCTTCTCAATTTCATCTATAACTGATTCATTCTCACAAAACGGTCTGTTCCTTTAAAAAAATATTGTCCAAGGGGTACGTTTTGTCACCCATCATGAGTGACAAAAAAGTCTTTTTCAACAAAAAATATGAAAAAATATCTTTTTATCATATGCTTCAACAATGGAGAAAAATAACAGTTTAATATATTGATCCCTTTTAATTGGTTCTCAAGTAGCAGTTCAAAAATTGAAAAGTTTACGGACGACGGAAAGGCATGCGATGATAGCCGGAAGCAGTTGACAATTTTTTTATATCAGCCCGCTAAGCACCATATCGGAAAATATGGAATTCACGTAAATTTAAATCTATTATCATACTGTAAAAAATATAAGTTATTAACTCCAAGTATAGGATAATTAAGATTATCCCACCATATCAAAAGATCTCTATCATATAACTCATTTTCATTTTTTACAGCTATGTTTTCCTTAACTCTTCTAACATACTGTTCATTTTGTAAAAGTGTATTGTTTAGGATCCACAAACCAGGACCTCTTTCTATGTTATTACAGTTTAAATTCAATATAACAAAAGCATGATCACTTAAACTAATTAAGTTATAATATAGATTTGGATACATGGTGACAACTGTCTACTAACTAAAAAATAATCTATCATACTCTGTTGTCACTCATTATTACGAATTCGTTTCCATGAAAATATTCTACTGTGGGTGTTTCTAGTACGCCACGCATCATATACATCCTTATCATTTACTATTTGGTATAATTTTCTACAAGGTTCATCTACAATACGTTTTATTTTACCACCTTTGTCTCAATTAGACAAACTAGAATTGAAGTCGCCTCCAATATTTAGGTTTTCCATATTCTCCATATACATTTTCACAAATTCGAAGAACTCTGTTCTTTCAGTTATCGTATTTGGTGCATATTACGATATAATATTATACAATGTTTTATTTACAAAAAATGTTACATGTAAAAATCTATCTTTTTCATCAGAATAAACAGTTTGTATCTTATCTTTACAATAGTTGTTTGCAAGTACAGCAACACCTAGTCTATAATTCAAACCATTGTTACTAATGATTTTACCTGAATATAAATGTTTTATACTATTTATATAAATGTCATCCCAAAATGTCTCTTGCAAAAGTACAATGCTATTTTTTTTATCATCAACAATACTAACAAAATTCTGAAAGTTATTTACACATCTAAGTCCATTACAGTTAATTGAACATATAATTACTATTGTAAAGATGAAATAAAATAAAATAAAATTACATATTTCTCCATTGTTTACATCTTAGTACTTTCAACATTTTGACCTACATATCTAACACATTTACCATCTAGATTAGGAGTAGCTTTAATTCTTGATCTCCTATCCAGCTTTTGCTCTTTCTTTATTAAGTTTTCGAGCTTCTTTAGCACTAATAAATTTACCCTCATCATTCATAACATCACCACCACTATTTGTATCCAGTATTTCTACTGAACTTTCAGACCCATCACCAGAACAGACATATAATTCTATATTTTCTTTTGCACCTTCAGTGGTGATTACTTCATCACAAACCGGGGTGCCAAATATTTCATTCAATGAGAAACTATCCTCCATATCAACATTATTGATTTCTCCACTTCCTCCTACAACAGTATCATAAGAAGGAGTGCTATCATCATCTCTCTTAATTTTTTTACCTTCGCTAAATTATCTGTCTGTTCCAGCAACAAGACTTTAATTCTCAATTATATCTTTTTCAATTGAGATATCTGTTCTATGATAATCATTGTCATTAATACCATCCTCTGAGATCCTCCGCTTCCTCTTTAAACCATCTTTGAGCTCCATTTTGCTCATTGTGCACTTCTCCTTCTACTATATTTAGATTTAAAACTTCTGTTTTTCCGGTTTTGTCAGACCCATCCGATTGTATTTTAGTTGCAGGGTCTTGTTACGCTTCATCTTCAGTAACGTTTTCATTTAATAGACAATCATTGTCATGTACATTTTTACTTACAAAAGATTTTACCACGGTTTCGGTATCCTCATCATCAGCATGATTTTCGCCTGGTCTTTTTTGTATGATTATTTCTGAACCATTTTCATTGGCTTCCATACAGTCTGTTAAAGGTTGAGAACATTCTGCACCTACACATACGCACGGATACTTGGTACAATCTGTACAAGGACATACGCTATGATTACTTCGGCATTGATGACATTTACATACACATGGAACTGGGTCACATGTGTAGCAAGCACATATGCACTCCGTATTTCCGCATGTCCTACATTTACACTTGCAGAAATATTTTCCACAGTCCAGACAATTTCCTTTATTTGCTTCTCGGTTATGCTTTCGTGTTTCCATCTCGTTGAAGGCTTGCATACGCATTTTTTGGCTCGACAACTTTTCTTTGCATGTCCAATATTTCCACATCCATAACACACAAAATATGGACAGTCTTTTCTCATATGCTCAGGAGATGAGCACTCTGAGCAAACCTTTGCTTGGTTGTTATGAACTACACGATAGTATGTTGTATTAGTGCCAATTTTAAATGGCATTGTCCACGTTAACGCTACCACTCCTCACGAATCTAGTACCATCAGCAACCGGAGTACCAGGTATGGTTCGCCTAAACACAGGTGAAACTACTTTCACTCTTTTACTTTTAATCTTACTTTTAATTCATGGTCACCAATATAAGACGGTAGTTTTATAACTGAAACAACAGTTATGTCTGAAAACATCATACTGCACTCGAAATCTCTATTAACAATTTCTGCTCCCCGTAACAACTTAAATGCATTTTCTTTACAGTCAAATGTTACATCATATAACGATCAATCACTTTGAACTACTGCTTATACAGTGTTCATTCCGGTTATAATCTCAATATCTCCTTTCACAACCTTTTCCCCAACTACTTTTGTCGGATTTTTTTCTTAACTAAATGTACATTATCGCTATTAATATTTATTATCAGTAACATAATTCTGTTTTGAAAACCGATTTCTTGTATCCCTTGAGTTTCTACGTGAATTTCCAGCATTTTGAAAATTTTGCTCCGACTGAGACATTATTGCTTTTCAAAGCAAGTACAACTCAACAAATAAGGACAAGCGCCCCTAAGTCAACCCCCTCTTCCAAACGATTAAATCATCAGAGAAGGGGTAAAAAACGTATAAATCAACAGTTTTGATGCGTCTGTCATACAAGTGAGAGGTTTAGCTAGCTATAAAACCAGGTTCAATCCACCATTTTCTACATAAGAAAATGCCTGTACCAAGTCAGGAATATGACAGTTATCCATTCGTTTGATGTGTTTGAGCTTTTGATTTTGCCATTTAATTAGGGACTTTCCTTTTTGAATTTTCCTCGGAGTTCAGTATTTTTGTGATTTAACTTTTTATACATATATTGATGTTGTCACATGCAATGCACTCGATCTTCAAAAATTCGACTGCGTTCATTAGCCTTTCATTATTCATTTAAAATCCCGATTTTGTTTTACCACTAGTCAATTACTAGAACATATCCATAAAAATGTCTTTCAATAGATCGAAAATATGCATAAACTCTTAACAGAACATATCCATAACATAGTCCTCCACCAGAACTGCTATACTATTCCACATTTATAAGTCTTTTTGTTGATAACCTTAGGTCTGTCAGTAACAAGATGAGAATAAAACCCTATTTTCTGCTGGCAAAAATTATGCCACGTTCCTTGGTGGGCTCGAACCACCAACCTTTCGGTTAACAGCCGAACGCGCTAATTTTTTTTTTATCTTTATTATATTCACACTTGGTATATACATATCACAGTTTAGATTTACACATAAATGAAAACATTGTAATCAATAATTCTTCTTTCTCTGAAAAGAATCATATTCGGTATTTTTCATTTACTATACATTTATAATGCATGAAATATTTTTCACGAACATAATTGTCTGGTTATGTACTTTTGTATATTCATATATATATCATATTCAATAGAAAAACATCAAGTCCTTATACTAATATTCTATCTCTTTCTTTTCTATCATTCAGCACATACATTCAAATTGATAAAAAGCTTACACAGAATACAAAGAAAACTCAAAGCGAAAAATGTTTGTAACGTCTTATTTTCCGACAGAGGACGAAAATTGATACAATCAGAAATGTAATTCGCACAGGGCTAGATTCCATTCCACCACGCAAATAAAATTTGAAGTATTAAATATCAAGTCATTCGTCAGCTATTTTAAGACAGGCAAATGAATCACAAAAAAGAATTATCAATATTCGGAAAAACTTTTTTTCACAACGTTCTCACAAAACCATACAAACTTTCTCTCTTACGAAATACAATACAATAAAATAAGAAAACAATTACAATTTTTTATTTGTCACAAAATCTATAATATGCAGCATTCTTTTTCTCACTGCATCAGTCATTAGTTTTGTCGTTCTTACATCATGAAAATCTTCAGCCGAACGCGCTAACCAATTGCGCCACAGAGACTCGCATGTCAAACTGTATAATATTAAGGTAGTGAAGTTTTTACCTTGTCATATTGTCATATACTGTATACACCATAAGGATGAATTATATTGACCAATTAATTATAACGGTCTAATCTACACTATCTTATACATATATTGATGTTGTCACATGCAATGCACTCAATCTTCAAAAATTCGACTGCGTTCATTAGCCTTTCATTATTCATTTAAAATCCCGAGTTTGTTTTACCACTAGTCAATTACTAGAACATATCCAAAAAAATGTCTTTCAATAGATCAAAAATATGCATAAACTCTTAGCAGAACATATCCATAACATAGTCCTCCACCAGAACTGCTATACTCTTACACATTTATAAGTCTTTTTGTTGATAACCTTAGGTCTGTCAGTAACAAGATGAGAATAAAACCCTATTTTAGGTTGGCAAAAATTATGCCACGTCCCTAGGTGGGCTCCAACCACCAACCTTTCGGTTAAAAACCGAACGCGCTAACCAATTGCGCCACAGAGACTCGCATGTCAAACTGTAGAATATTAAGGTAGTGATGTTTTACCTTGTCATATTGTCATATACTGTATACACCATACGGATGAATTTTATTGACCAATTAATTATAACGGTCTAATCTACACTATCTTATACTATATTGATGTTGTCACATGCAATGCACTCGATCTTCAAAAATTCGACTGCGTTCATTAGCCTTTCATTATTCATTTAAAATCCCGAGTTTGTTTTACCACTAGTCAATTACTAGAACATATCCATAAAAATGTCTTTCAATAGATCGAAAATATGCATAAACTCTTAACAGAACATATCCATAACATAGTCCTCCACCAGAACTGCTATACTCTTACACATTTATAAGTCTTTTTGTTGATAACCTTAGGTCTGTCAGTAACAAGATGAGAATAAAACCCTATTTTAGGTTGGCAAAAATTATGCCACGTTCCTAGGTGGGCTCCAACCACCAACCTTTCGGTTAAAAACCGAACGCGCTAACCAATTGCGCCACAGAGACTCGCATGTCAAACTGTAGAATATTAAGGTAGTGATGTTTTACCTTGTCATATTGTCATATACTGTATACACCATAAGGATGAATTATATTGACCAATTAATTATAACGGTCTAATCTACACTATCTTATACTATATTGATGTTGTCACATGCAATGCACTCGATCTTCAAAAATTCGACTGCGTTCATTAGCCTTTCATTATTCATTTAAAATCCCGAGTTTGTTTTACCACTAGTCAATTACTAGAACATATCCATAAAAATGTCTTTCAATAGATCGAAAATATGCATAAACTCTTAACAGAACATATCCATAACATAGTCCTCCACCAGAACTGCTATACTATTACACATTTATAAGTCTTTTTGTTGATAACCGTAAGTCTGTCAGTAACAAGATGAGAATAAAACCCTATTTTCTGCTGGCAAAAATTATGCCACGTCCCTGGGTGGGCTCGAACCATCAACCTTTCGGTTAACAGCCGAACGCGCTAACCAATTGCGCCACAGAGACTCGCATGTCAAACTGTAGAATATTAAGGTAGTGATGTTTTACCTTGTCATATTGTCATATACTGTATACACCATAAGGATGAATTATATTGACCAATTAATTATAACGGTCTAATCTACACTATCTTATACATATATTGATGTTGTCACATGCAATGCACTCGATCTTCAAAAATTCGACTGCGTTCATTAGCCTTTCATTATTCATTTAAAATCCCGAGTTTGTTTTACCATTAGTCAATTACTAGAACATATCCAAAAAAATGTCTTTCAATAGATCAAAAATATGCATAAACTCTTAACAGAACATATCCATAACATAGTCCTCCACCAGAACTGCTATACTCTTACACATTTATAAGGGTTTTTGTTGATAACCTTAGGTCTGTCAGTAACAAGATGAGAATAAAACCCTATTTTCTGCTGGCAAAAATTATGCCACGTCCCTGGGTGGGCTCCAACCACCAACCTTTCGGTTAACAGCCGAACGCGCTAACCAATTGCGCCACAGAGACTCGCATGTCAAACTGTAGAATATTAAGGTAGTGATGTTTTACCTTGTCATATTGTCATATACTGATACACCATAAGGATGAATTATATTGACCAATTAATTATAACGGTCT